TTCTGTTCTCTGATTGGCCCGGCTAAAAATGTGCCAGTGAAATCCATCTCAATGGAAGAAGTCCCAGACGGAGCAGAGAAGGGAAACTAGAATTGAGCAGAACTGCATAGGAAGGCAAGGGCCAGGCTAAAATATTGCTAATAATTAAAGACTCCTAACAAATGTGAAATGATGTAAGGAAGATGTCGACAGTCAAATTGGGAGTAAGTGTGGAGATGAACTCTGAAACCAGCAAACATCAGAACCAGTCCATCAGCGTCTTCTCTCTGGAGGCGGAGTTTGTTCCTTTTTAATCAGGTCTGGAAACAGAGAACAAATTAAACAGATATTCAAAAATGACACAGGGGCTTCTGACAGTGTTATCCATCCTGCTGTGATACATCAAAAAAATTCTGTCACCGTAACTAAAAAATGTTTTATTTTTTTCAAAATAATTCCATTTAATTCAGAGTGTGGCTAATATCTTCTTTCTGAATGGACTTTTCCACCTTTCAGTTGTCTCCTACCAACTAAATTCACATGTCTTCATTTGAAATTGTAAGACAGTGGTATTAAAAAAGCATGTTGTTGTAGCCAAACTGGTTAGCCAGCATTGTTCGAGTATAATTTAGAGTATAGGTGATCCCGGAGAGCTCGCACTAAGCAAGCTTAATCCTGTTGTCTAAGAATGGGCACAGGGACCCATGCCAGCCAGCATTAAGCTGTTGGTGTATGCAGCTATGACAAGCGAATTACTCACTGTAGCAAGGGTGGTCCTCCAAAGCATGAGCTGCAAATGTTGGTGGCTGCCAGTGGGCACCAGCTCTGGGACAGGCTTAAGGCAGCTGGTTTCCTGCCAGGTATTCTACTCTCTGACGAAAAGTGCTGCAGAATTCAGTTTTAAACGTCGGGTGGAGAGAGTGCTCCATCTTAACAAAGTTGTACAATAAATCACATGCTTTAAAACAGTGATAATGATGGTTGTGCAGTGCTTGAAACATTTTTTAAACTGAATTTTAACTAAAAAAATGGGACCTACAAAGATAGCTGACTGGAAGATTTGCAGCTAAATTAAACTTTATCAGTGATTATTTCTTGTTGCAGAAATGTGCTTATTATACTATGTCCCCATTGTTATTTTACACATTGCTGGTATTTAGCATTAATCACAACAAACTAGTGTTACAAATAATTTAGCCACAGATTTAGTATTTTCATTTATCTAAGGTTATTTTACCTARCATCTAACAAGAATCTAACAGGCGCTGTCATAACCATAGCTGACAGTCCAAGCACCCTCCACTCCGCAGCTGATGGTCCGCATGTCCAACCCACRTGTGACTTGAGGCTCTTTATACAGGTAACTGGGGTGCCGTTTGAAAAGTTACACATTCAAAAATTACCACAAATATTTTAGTTTTAGTTAGCCTTTTAAAAGAAAAAAAGCACAAATTCATTTTTCAAAGTCAGTTTTTCACCATATGATTCAAACATTTATGTCATAGTTTATAAACTAAATATTTAACTTACACATTAAATATTCAGTAAACAAGCTAAATATTTAAAATATTTTAATATTTAGTTTTGAGCTAAATGTTTAGCTTGTAACTTAAATATTTAGCTAGCTACCTAAATATTTAGGTTGCAAATTAAATATTTAGCTAGCCACCTAAATATTTAACTTAAATATTTAGCTAGCTACCTAAATATTTAGGTTGCAAATTAAATATTTAGCTAGCCACCTAAATATTTAACTTAAGTATTTAGCTAGCTACCTAAATANGTTGGGTCCTTCCTGGTCCAGGAGATCTTTGAGCCTCCTCAGGTCCTCCACGCTGCTGCTTCTGACAGGTACAGAACCTGGCTTTCCAGGTGTGCTGCTCAGAGTGGGCGTGGCCTCTGTGTCCTCTGCTGACGTCCATCTTGGACAGTCGTGAGACAAAGACCTGCTTGAAGCTGAGGGACAAAACAAAGAGTTTCAGTTTGAAAGAAGAAAATGTTTTAATTCCTGATCAGTGACGGAGTGGAGCCGAGGTTCAGGTGTGAGTGACAGGTCGTTAACCTGACGATGATGATGAGTTAAAAACAGGAAGATCGTTCATTCAAACTGATGAAGGATCACCAAAATAAAAGTCTAAAGGTTTGTGTTCACTCAGTGAAACATTTTCTCAAAATTATTATTATTATTAGATTTTATAGAAAAATAAAAAAAGTTTTTCTCCAGTTGTGTTGTTGCTGAAGGATGTTGGAGAGTTTTAGCTTCGGTTCAAATCATGAAGTTTTATTTGGATTTTCATCAGGACTGTGGTTTAAAGCAGCACAAAGAGAATGTTTTAAATGTGTTTTATGATAAATGGCTAGTTGGTTTTAACGATGCGAGTCTCTTCGGTACATTTGGGTTAAAACAGGTCCAAACCATCGTTACACTTCAGAGACTTGTTTCCTGATGGCCCTGATCGAAAATAAGTCTTTTATTTAAAGCAGTTTCCTGCTTTGATCATGTGACCTAAAGACAAGTCAGAGCTCGTCCTGAAGCTGCAGCTCATAAACTGATCTCCACCTTTAGAAGAACCGTCTGACGGGTCCATTCCTGCAGGACACAGCTCTGATTGACGAGCATCACAGACTCTTTCCTGGCAGCTGGTGGGGCGAGCAGCAGAGGTGTGGGTGGATTTACAGAGCAGAGGCTCATAAAGCATCCTGCTGGCTCCTCTCACATCAGAACCAAACTTTCCTCTTCAGAACTTCTACAGAAACTTCTCAGAGTCACGGTTTTCCAAGAACTGAAGAAACCAGAACATTGTAGAAACTCTGAGGGGATTTGGTGTTCTCACTAAATACTGACTCAGCATTCTCACAGACCGGCTCCTCTCTCTCCAGAACCCTCACTGGACTGGACTTACTGTCTGAGTTTCAAAATAAGAGCATTAATGTACCTGACACTTTCAAAATAAGAGCATTAATGTACCTGACACTTTCAAAATAAGAGCATAAATGTACCTGACAGTTTCAAAATAAAAGGATAAATGTACCTGACAGAGCACTGAAGTAAGCCCCGCCCTCCTTCTCTTCTTCCTCCTCCTCCTCCTCCTCCTCCTCNGTTAAATAAAATGATCTGTGATAAGAAATAAATGCCATACAACACCAGAATTCTGGAGTGGGGGTTTATTTTGCCACTGGCTGGCAAGTCAAACCACACACTGGGAGTAAAACAGGAAATGGACCAGTATATATATACAGAATCTTCAATGCCTGAGTTCGCCCCCTGCTGACCTATGGCTGAATCACCGGCATTCAGACAACAACCTTAATCTAATGTTAACACAGCTTTTAATTATGTGTTGTTAATAATTCGGACATGTATCTACCCTATTTCAATTAACACATTGTAAGAAATATAACAAACATTATAAAGGTATTGTAAAATAGGAAACCCTAATACTCTGGTGTTTTATGTAATCAGTACTAATCCATAATAACTATAAATTTCTTCACTTTTATCATTTGTATGGACATGTTTTTAAATATTATTTTTATAATAAAAAAACGTGAAATAAGCATGCACCTAAAGCGGGTCAATTAGTTCTTCAAATGTTACCTTTAAGTTAATTTTATAGTTTTGTGATATTAATAATGCTAATAAATTGATATTTTTCTAGTTTTGATTTAAGTTTGSTTGTTTAGCGTCGTCACAGATGCTAGGTGACATGACGTAAGGACGGGACGCTAGACCGTCCAAATTCACAGACTCTTTTTTTCCCGTCTTCCCGGTCCACCAAGGACCTGGCCCACCTCGACAGAGTAGTCTGGGTCCTCCGGAGGACCCGGCCTGTCGTTTTGGACACAGCGAAAGGGACAGCTAGCTTTAGCTTACTTTGACAAGCTAACATTCATGAAAACGTTTCTGAATGTTCTAAATAAATGACTTTGTAAAAAGTAAAGTTTCATGATATACATGCAAACTCACATTTAGCTGATACAACATGTAATAATGTAAAGTTCAGGCAAGAAAAACTGTTAAATATGACTTTGGTCCAAAACAGAACAGAAAGAAGTCGTTATGAAACTGGAGTTTATATTTATAAATCAAATATCAATTTGATTTTGCATCACAACCATTTCTAAACACCATGAAATAATCCTCTGTCCCTTTAAAGAGTAACTTACCCCAAAATTTACTTTTTTTAGCTGATAAACTGTCTAGAATGTGTCTAAAATGTTATATAGTACTGCTGCAGCTGTATGCTTTTATTTTTTTATGTCAGGCTGTCGGAGCGCTCCACCTCCTCTGTCCGAGGCTGGTGTGGTGTGAGGAGGACAGCTCAGCNTGTGTCTGTGTGTGTGTGTGTCTGACCCGGGGCTGGCTGAGGCGCTGGTGGAAGCGGACCAGCCTGCTGAAAACCTCCTGACAGTACAGATGCAGCTCTTCCAGCTGGTCCTCGATCAGCGCTGCGTCCTCAGGTGAACTCTTCTGGATCAGAACCTCTCCGAACACGATGAGGTCGTCGATGCGCTCCGAGTTCAGAGAGATCTCCTTGTGGAAGCTCTGCGGGGACACGAGGACACGCTGAAGGTGTGTGTGTGAAGCAGAGCAGACGTCAGGACGCAGCCGGCCTCACGTTCAGCTGCTGGATCTTCTGATGGACGTCGCTCTCTGAGAAGTGCTCCACGTCTGTRAGCTGCAGGTCCAGTTCTGTCAGCCACACCAGCATGCTCCCTCTGGTCCCTTCAAAGTCCTCCCTCTGACCCGTGAAGTACTGAGACCAGAACAACAACACTTCTGCAGTCAAAGCTTTTATTCTGAAGTCTGCCACCCTTACAAATTAAAACAATGAAACCTTCTAACACCACCAGATCCAGTTCTTTTCAACCAGAACCTAAAGAGAACCTGAAGTCCACAGAGTTAGAACTTTGTGTAAAATCTTCTGTCAATAAATTCTAAATGACTTCTTGGATTTGACTAAAAGTGATCCAGTGTCTCAGAAATTATTATCATTATTATTATTATTAACATCATCATTATTATCAACATTGTCGTTGTCATTATTGTATTATTATTATTATCATTATTTTCTTCAATATTATTATTATATCATTATCATTATTATTATTATTATTGCTATTATTATCATTATTGTTATCGTTGTTATTATTTTTTCCCCTGAGAATAAAATCTGTAGGTTTATATTTAAAGCTGTCCCACATTTGGAATAAAAGCTGTAAAAGTGTGATTGAATCATTGATGTTTCCTGTCTTTAATAAAAAAACAGTAAATTCTTTTAAAAGCTGCACTCGTACCTTGAGGCGGCGCAGGATGGCGGCCCCTCGGCGCTGCAGGGCGTTCCAGCGCTCGTTGCCCCCTCTGATGCGGGCTTTGAGCTGCCCGGCCCGGTCGGTGCGGTTCTCCCGGGCCAGGCGGCGGTACTGGTTGTTGAGGAGCTCTAAGTGAGTCAGACGCTCGTGGACCTGCCGCTGGAAGCTCTGCAGACCAAGAGAAACAGTTCCACTGTTTGTTTAACTCAAAGTGACGGAAACAAAACTGTTTATTGTTTATGTCCTGCTGCCATGACAGCTGAGCGATGATGTCATGGTTTGAAAGGATTAAAGCTCATTAACTAACGAGGTTCAGCCTCAGAGAACTAAAGAACCTCAAACTTCTTGAGCTCCTCCTTGGCCACAGAGAACAGCACGTCTGCTGAGTCGGGGTTGGCAGCTCTTCTCTCAGCCGTCTGCAGCCAGTCCTCAAAGCRGGAGTAGTCCTGGAGGAACCTGGACCAGAGAGTCCACGTCTCCTCGATCCTACATGTGGACGAGACATGAGAGGCTGAGGAAGACACAAACCTGACAAGTGAAGCACAGACATTGGCTCTCATGCAAGAACATGTTCGTATTCTTCTCCTAAATGTCTCTTACTTTTGTTCGTACGAAGGGTTCGTACCAACATGTCACGTCAGATTCAACAAACTCTTCTATCTTCAGGAAAACTGTGTAAATGAGCTGCGTAAACTGATGAATGTGTATCAGGTGTTTATGCACGAGGAGAGGTGATTAGTATAATTACCACCATAAAAACACCATATAAGGATGTGTTTCCTGTCTCACATACCAGGAAGTGTTCATTCATAAATGACATCACAAAGTAAAAAGAAGAAAGATTGAAGTTCTGCTCTCAGAGACCCAGAAAAGACAATCTGTCATTTTCAGCAGCGTCAGCTGTGGGATTAAAGGAGCTGCTGAAGCTGAGGAATGACATGTTCTGTTGATGTTGTGTCTCCTGTGTGTCGTTACAGACAGAAATAATCTACATCAGATTCATCTCTCTCTAGTCCTGCTCTGCTTTTCATGGTGAAATATTTTTAATTTAAGTGTAAACATCTGTCATCACAAGTGTCCGATGTTTTTATGAATAAAAGCAGTTTAAAATATCTTCAAACTTCAATTAATGCAGAATTTAAGTAGGTTTGTAGTTTGAGATCTTCATTTATTGTAGTGTTATATAACAGCATTAAAAGCCAATTTAATTTAATCNTGCATCGTCTTTTAGTGATAATCTTGTTATTGGTCCACTGTTAAATTCCCTTTTGTTCAGAAAGCTACAGTATCATCTGCAAAGTGGCTCACACAAATGTATAATTTTTTTTTCCGTCAGAGKGTTACTTCCAAAGTTGAAGTCAAACCATTTTTAAGAACCGYGTCATCCATGGGAAGCTTAAAAAGCGGGTAGTCTCCTTGGCATCTGAAAATACACTTCATCAAAGACATTTTTAATTTCTTGGGGCGTAGTGGCACAGTGGCTAGACAAGGTGACCCTGTAATCGTAAGACCACTGGGTCAACTACCTGGACCGACCAGCCCCACTTTGGGCCTTTGAACAAGGCTCTTAACCCCTCAGCTGCTCCCCGGGCATCTCAAAAATGGCAGCCCACTGCTCCAAGTGTGCTCAGTGCTCATATGTGCCATAGGCGAAAAGCAGAGAAATTTCCCCAAGGGGATCAATAAAGTATCTATCTAATATAAAAAGAACTGGACTGAGAAACATAACGAGCTCATCAGATGCACAGTTTCACCTGTTGTTTGCTAGTTGTTGCTGCTGATAGCCTGCAGGATTTGTGGGTGGGTGTGCTCTGTGATGAGGAAGCTCAGCTTGGAGACACAGAGGAAGAGCTGCTCCTAAAAGGTGGCTCTAGGCCCAACCCATCATTTTTACTCTCCTGTCTGGCTGTTTCAGGACATTACAGGATTTCTCAAACATGCATGAAGCAAGACTGGTTATGTTTTTGATGAGGGGATAACATTGTAACATGATATAAAACTCTATTTTACATATTGCCCCTTAAATGAGTAACTGGACAGATCCACTGTGGATGTACTGAAATGTCTCATTTTACTGCTTTACTACATGAAATACATAAAACACATGCTATTCAAAATCTGTTAATTGTTAGAAGTTKTTTATGAAGATGAAGCAATTTCTGATGTTTCTAAAGGTTCAGATAAAATGTCAGCGACCTAATCTGTGCAGGGTATTTATTACTGACAGGAAAACGATTCATGTCCAGATGTTCAAGTTTTTAGTCAGTGTTTTTTGTGTGCTGAGACTAAATATCTTCATCATTTTCCACATTAATCTTCCCAGGAACTGTTGACTGATAGATGACATCCTAATACCAGCAGATAACTGTTAAAATTAACTTCATTTTTTTCCTGTTGTACATCTGTCAACTGCCACAGTTGTTATTGACAGAGTCAGAAATACTGTCAGATTAAAAATGTTAAGATTTCAAAATCATCTAATAACTAGAAGCCCTCGGAGAGTGCAAACCTCCACCGAGACCAGTTTCCCCCATCCTGTAAGAGTTAATGCATAAAAGCAGAGATGGAAACACATTTGCCCAATAAGTTCTGACGTAGTGAACATTTAAGCAGCAGTATGCACGGGATTTCTTCCTGGTGGAGTCCAGTGTGAAAAAAAAAGAAAAGTCAGACTCGTCACCCGACGTTATTCATGGTCAAACTGGTGTGGGATTAAGC